CTCTCTTCTAATCTCTCGCTTCTCTCTGCCTCTGCCCTACTCTGCTTTTCATCTGTCCATATTGTCGGAAGTTTGACTTCTAAACTTCCTTCGGCTACTAGTACTACAACAACTACTTCCACGACGACGACAATTGCAATTGCAATTACAACAACTAAAATTACAACAACTAGAACGATTACAACAACTACAGCTACAACAACTGCAGCAACTACAACTACTACAACTACTACAACTACTACAAATACTACAAATACTACAAATACTACAAATACTACAAATACTACAACTACTACAAATACTACAACTACTACAACTACCACAACTACAACAACTACAACAGCAATAACTACAGCCAACTACAACGACAACAAGATCAACAGCAAGAAGAACAGCAACAAGAACAACAACAACAACAACAGCAACAGCAACAGCAGCAGCAGCAACAACAACAACAGCAGCAGCAGCAGCACAAACAACAGCACAAACAACAGCACCGGCATCAGCAATGGCAATGGCAACAGCAGCAGTGACACAACCAGCAACAGCTCCAGCAAAAGCAACACAAACAACAACAGTGAACTTAAGTTTTGATTGAAGGCATTTTGTTGATGTTGCTCGGAACGAGAAGAGTAAATCGCACATCATCCTGTGACATAACCATTTCTTCTGCAGCTTTGGAGGTTGATCAACCCAGAGCATCTAATGAAATGGTTTACACTGTTACTGTTGATACGTGATTGCACCTTATATACCCATCTATGGGCTTAAATACAGATCTACCACTCGTCATCGTGTAGAGATTTTAGTTTTAGTAGATTATTTTACATGGTACTTGAAGGATGACACTTCCGAACGATTGGTGCAGGAGTTTCAGCCCATGGTCGAAATTTGCACCAGAACTGCAGAGGAACAGCTGTCAGGGATAGGCGCATGCGGCGGATGCGATCGGACGGACCCGGGGGTCCGAGGATCATTTTGCGATGCATTTCTTGATGCCTATTTGGACAGGGAAACGATTGAATCTATGCATCTTATGCATCAGCATCATCAGGAAGTCTCTGCAAAATAATGTAACTAATGATTCTTGTGATTTTGCGCCCAGTGTCCATCAGTTTCTTGTGCGCACGATAGGTTTCCTGTGAGATTCGTAGGGCAAAGGTTCAAGTGGTCTGCAGTGGATTGGACTTGATCTTCCCACAATTCATACTCTGTTTATGATGCCTGTCATTGTCAATCTTATCCGTCTCAGATATTTGCGAATAATATTGTTGTGCATGATGTGACTTCGATGGATGAGGCTGGCAATAACATATTTGTGGGAATAGACATTCTGATCCTTTATCTCCAGTTGGTTCGGCAGCTAGGGGACAGCGGTGTCATTCTCATGATTCAGGCATTCAGAACATGATCAACACCACTCTATTGGTGTGCAGAACTTGGTGCAATTGCTGAGGCTTTTTTTTTGGTCGGCCAAGAAAAGTATATGGGTACCCATATCATCCCACTCCACTGGCGTTTAGCCCAGGTCCAAAGCAATGGCAATGGTCACCATCAGCGCCTTGGCAGTCCCAGTGGGTTTGTGGCCTAGTGGTTTTTCGGGTGGCGAGGGAGCACCATCCGAGGTAACATCAACCATGGTGTCCTGAGTGACTTGCTCTCTGCAGATGGAAACAATATGGACATTATGGATTTGACGGTGGCTTGGTGAAGTGGGAGTAAAGAGTAAAGACTGTTCATTCTAGGTGATACATTTATAGTATATGACATTGTGATACATACGTTATATATATTATATACACATAAAATATATCATATATAGTGTAGTATCGATGGCCGTGGTGTTTGGTGGACCTTCCGGGATACATGGGATAGCATTATATATCGAAAAGGTATGAAAAAGAATATGTCTAGTGGTACGGATTGTAATCAGGGCTGAGGGTCAGGAAAAATTACTGTTGTTTTGACATGCCATGTGATAATTTGCAGAATGTCGTTCGCATATGTTCACTCACCAAGACACGCAGCAGACATGTCTTGTTTTTCTTCTCGAAACCAGATACGTCAGAAGATCTTGGACAAGAGCTTCTAGAGACGGCTTGAAGAGCGTCACACATGCACGTATGCGCTTGTCTACAAGCTTTCATCAAAGTAACGAAGCAGGTATCGAACGTGATTGCCTGCCCGAACCGCCCCATCCCCCAACCCCCTCCCACAGATCAAGATGATGTATGATCATGACGATAATATTCACGAATGACAAACATACAGCGTAGCATCAAGTGAGCCACGTTCAAAACTGCCGGCAATTGATTTTAGTATTCGGTGGAATTTATTCTGTAAAAAATTGAATGGCGTCACGCGCGCGCAAGCTTTTCACAAGCTTCGCGCAAGCTCATGTACGTGCAAGCTTCGCGCAAGCCCGAAATCACGTAGATAATTGCGTGTAATTTTGACCCTTGACGATTTCACACATCCTGAATTTTGCCCAAGGTTCGCGCAAGCTTCGCGCAAGCAAAGGGGTTGGCCACTATGCCCCACAGAAACCGGTAGCAAGATGATCGTAGACTCACCATTTTGGCTACATTTTGCTACTATGCTCTTTCTGAGCGGGACACTAAGCAAAACCACTGCACGGACTGGGAGCCATGCCACTGTACTGATTGTACCCTGGCTCAAGGCCATACACTCACTGGAGGCATTCAGGGACCACACTGCTGGCAAAATAGGAACTGCGTTGATTGGAGCCTAGAAGTCGAGAAGCCACCGGACAAGCCAAGAAGTCGAGAAGCTGAGAAACAACCGAGCGAGCCGAGAATCTGAGAAGCCAAGAAGCCCAAGTCGGAAATCAGCTTCGTGCCTGCATCGCCCAAGCAAAAATGCACCAAATCTCAGGAATTCATCTTCGCGCAAGGTCGCGCAAGCTCAGTTTGAAAAATTGACCGCGCGCAAGCTCCCATTGTGGTCGCGCAAGGATGGCGCAAGGATTTCGCGCAAGGATGAATAATTTCCATTCAGTTTTAATTGAAGTTTTGAACACCGCTCAAGTGGGTGCGCCACTTAAAGTCCAAATAAGCAATTAACGTAAGATATGTCTCCGACTGTCAAACACAAAACGCAGCAAGGTGCTGCGCAGCCCAAGGCCGCCTCCAGCCGACTATTCACATATCTATCATAATCTTATCCAATCCTGTCCTATTGAATCCTTTGCTATGCTGTCCTGTCCTATCCTATCTATCTATCTATCTATTCAATATGTATATATATATATATGTATATGTATATATAGACACATACATAATATATGATAAATGTAATTTTCTGTCGATAACGATATCTATATCTACATGTTCACCACGCGTTTTGACACCGAGGACTACTTGGCAGAGGGTGAGGAGCTACCAAAGGTCTTGACTTTTGCAGAGGCGGAAATACCTGCGCCTGCCATGGTGGAAAATCGTTGCAATCAGAATTTGAGGAAAAACTCATCAATGATCGCGAGATGATCGATACATGTTGATAACCTTCATGAATGGATATGTCATTGGGATTGAATGATAGAAGATTCATAATGTTTTTTGAACATCTATATGGTTGTCAATGATTCTATCCCTTTCATGAAATATTCCAAGTCACTGTCAATGGGATTGGGGGATTGGCGCGACACCGCACCTGCGCAGCACCAGGCATCAGCCATCGTGTCTCGCGGTGCTCAGCAGGTGCTCATTGGATGGAGTGCAGGCGGGGCGTCAACCCGAACGGCTCGAGATCCTGGTGTCATTTGCTGCGGGGTTTCGACATGGATGCAGTTTTTCGGCATGTAACACGTATTGCTGGGGGTCAATACCATGAAAAATAACAATAATACATAATAATACCCTATATAATACCGTATTCATAATAATACATGGATGAACATAATGAAGATAATTGATCTAATGGAATATTCCTGGAACATAAATCGGCATTTGGGGCTTCACCGGGGTATCGGCACGTGCCACGTAGATGGCGACTTCGAAGTCAACCCGAAAAGCAAGCTGACTCCGCTGCCTGGCCGAAGTTTTGGAGGTCTACATGGGGTCTGGGTTTGTGCAACGTGTTGGTGTAGAGATATACAAATAGGTAGAGAGAGAGAGAGAGACAGAGAGAGATGTAGTACATGCATACGCACATCCATACATGCATACATACATCCATGCATCCATACATGCATACATACATGCATACATCCATGCATGCATCCATACATGCATACATCCATGCATACATACATACATACATCCATGCATACATACATGCATGCATCCATACATGCATGCATGCATGCATACATGCATACGTACATCCATGCATGCATGCATACGTAAATCCATGCAAGCATGCATGCATACATACATCCATGCATACATGCATGCATACATAGATACATAGAGACATAGATACATAGATAGATGCATAGATACATACATAGATAGATACATAGATAGATAGATAGATAGATAGATGGATAGATAGATGGATAGATAGATAGATACATAGATAGATAGATAGATAGATACATAGATAGATAGATAGATAGGATTAGATTAGATTAGATTAGATTAGATAGATAGGTAGATACATAGATAGATAGATAGATAGATAGGTACGTACGTACATACATACATACATACGTACGTACGTACATACCTACATACATACATACCTACCTACCTACATACATAGATAGATAGGTAGATAGATACATACATACATACATATCAGATTGTATGTACATATGGGAACAAAGCATGCCCATTCCACCTGTGCTGGGCTCTCTTTCTCCAAGGAGAGCCTGGACGGCTGAAGATCGCTTGGTGGTGATCAAAGACGTTTGAGCAAAGCGACGGCCAAAAACAGCTGCAGTATTCAGGACACCCAAAAAGTTTTTTGCCATGGAAAACATTATCATGTTTAAAAGAAAAACCCAAGTGGCTGGCGTTGGCACACGGGATCCCTGTTGAGGTAGACATGATTGTCATTGCCATGGCACCCCAGCAACTTTTTCCAGCTGTTGCATACCTGAGTGAAGATGACCAGGGACAGAAACACCTTTTGATCACTGGCTCCTCAGAGTTTGAACGTGTGCAACGTGTTCATCTCCGCAGCTTCCATAATTTTCCTCAGCCTGACATGCTTCAGCCCACTGACAAACTCCAAAGAATTGAGATCAACATTTTGTGTCAGCCGGAGAAATCATGCAGATTCAACGACCGCAATAGTGACCACAACGGTGACGAATTGAGTACCAGCACACAATTCGCGTACTGAGCCCTGAACTTTGCTTTGGCGCTGTCCTAAGCTAGCTCCTCAGGGCTACCAAGCTCCGAGATCCGATGGTTGAGATATGTGTATCTATATAAATATATACATGTAGATATATATATACATATATATACATATAGATATATATTTATATATACATACATATGTATGTATATATATACATACATATGTATGTATATATATATATATGTATGTATGTGTATGTATGTATATATATGTGTGTGTGCGTGCGTGTGTGTATGTACATATACGTACATATATATATTAATTGAGATCAGCAAACATGTTTTTTGCTGGACCAACCAAACCCCGGGTTTGTTTCTGAAACCCCGGTTTTCCTGGAAATATGATGAAATCCATGCTCGACTCCATCACAAAAATCAAGCACAAATTACTTTACTTCGAGTGATGCCCACGGTGACAGAGTTTTGTCATAACTTCCGACATCTGATCTGGAAGCATATATGGCATATATTTTCTGACATTCTGTTCTGACATTCTATCTATTCTGGCATTCTATTTGGCATCTATTCTGACATTTTCTCTGGCATTCTTTTGATATTCTATCTGGCATCGTTCTGACATTCTTTCTGGCACCTTTTCTAGCATTCTATTTGGCCTTTTATTTGACATTCTATTCTGGCATTCTATCTAGCATCTATTCTGACATTCTCTCTGACATGAGCACTGCCGGACCTCAACCGCCAGCGCCAGATCTCAGTGATTTGGTTCTTGTCTCTCAACTTATTTTTGTGAGACATTCTGGTTGCCGAAGGCATACATTATTTATATGTGTTTTATATGTGGTTATGGTATGTTATATTTGAAGTTTTGATGATCCATGATGAAAATGATCTCCAAGGTTTGGAGACGCCGGCGGCTAGGTGCCTTGAATGGGCGAGCTATGCATTCCGAATGCAGGGTCAATAGATTCTTCGGTATGTTTCTTCAGTACAAATGAGGAACAGCAACTGGTCAATAGATTAATAACATATAGCCACCTATGGGAGATCCAAATTTTGGGGACGACCGGGGCTGTCCCAGGCTTAAGGTTGGGAGACAACTGACAATGGTCGCATGATGTCGCATGTTTTCATGTCTTGCAAGGCGATGGCAGGCGAGATGGGTGATGAGTGACATTCAAACTGAGTAGAACCTGGCTTAGCGGCTCAATGCCTGGAGGTGTTCTACGGATTCAAGGATTACTTGGAAACAAGTGCCAGTTTTTCTGGACAGTATGTCATGGATTCACGGTATGTCCAGAAATCTAAACATTCTGCAACCATTCCTTTTCCATGGTGTTCCCGTGAATATCTGCATGTTACAACTTGGGGCGTCCCATATCCCGGAGCGTCAGGTTCAGATGTGCGACTGCGTGTTGGAGCCGTTGAGGCGGCGAAATCCCATGCTATTTGGGTGTGACCCATAGCCATATCCCATACCGTCATGGAATGCAATGGATGCGTATAGTGCACTATGTTGCACTATAGTCGTGCATCAAAAAGTACCGTATAGTGCATCAAAAAGTGCATCATAGTGCAATGGGCATCGGAAAGGAAGAAAGATACATTAAGATGTGGACGTGTTTTGACTTGTTGTCCCAGTTTACCTATTGGGAACTTGGAACTAGGCGTGACACGTGATGGTGGATGTTTTTAGAGGCGAACAGATGCCAAAAGATGACGAAACGATCCGAATGATGACAAAATCATGAGAGTGTACCTGTATATTGTGCCAAAAAAATGCATCGATAGGTGATCATCTGTGATCTGTGTAAATCAAATTTGTGAATATGATCGAGTATCTAAGATATATTTCAATCTGCTGCATTTCGTCAGTCGAGCTTCAGCAGGGTGGTTTTGCTGCAGATGGATCCGATGAACTGTGGGGAAACTCAGGGTCCCAATAGACTCAATAGACCAGCCCCATATATAGACATATCTATATATATGTATACACATGTGGATTCAATAGATTCCAATAGATTCCAATAGACCCCATCTCAGGATTCATATAAAACCTCATCCAAAACTGAGGCCGGACCTGTCCAAGCATAAGAGCCTTGCTGCAGAGGCGCGCCGCGCCGTCGCTTCCAAGTTCTCGGGTAAACGGGGAAGCGCTTTATGGTCTTCATTCTTTGATGTCCTTTGCCATTGGTCTTCAGTCTCAGTACAATACTTTGGGATTCGGTCCGTGTTTCCTGCGCCAAGGTCTTGTTGAAGAGATCTGACCTGTATCCGAAGATGAAAGACAGGCACCGTGGCTCAGCTGTTTTTCTCGGCATCTCCAGTGGGAAGTTCCCAATTATGGACATTTCTGGACATTTCAGATAGAACCGGAAAAAAAAACGCAAAATTTGGCCACACCAGCCATTTCCAGTCGGAAATTTCTAACTTTCAATCGCTGAGGCAAACGAAGCTGGGTATCCGCCTGGCGCGGTGCATCAAGGCACGTCTATTTGGGTACCATGGCTATGGATCAATACCTACAGATACCATAAAAATATCCATATCTTGGGGATGGATGGACATAAAACCCAGCGATTTTCGAACAAAAGGGCTGGTTTTGGTGAACTGACCCACATGATGTTTTGAAATGTGCAAGTGTTTCACGTATGACAAACTCTAACTCGTCCCCCAAAAGGCGGCTGTGGACACTCCGGAGAGTAGTGACACTTGCTGTGGCCCAAGTGCGGACAAGGTGAAGAAGGGCTGTGTGTGCGATCCGACAATTGGGTATACCGTACTCCAATTGATGGCAATTTGAATGGGAAAAAAAACTTAAAATGACAATCAACCATCATTTTTTGGGTAAACGTTTTTCAGATAAACCCAAACGGGCTGGAAAAATGATTGATCAAAGCAAAGATCGGCTTAGATCGGCTTGTATTGTTTGCATTCCTTTGCTGCTCAGTCTATTGCTGTTCACTCTATCTGTATTCTTGGTCCTGCAGATTTCATTCTCAAACATGCACATGTTCCAAGGGGAAAGGTGGCTGCTCAGATGTTGGTTGTGTTGGTTCAATCGAAGTGGATGGGGATCTGCCAACAGGAAGGGGTTAACCTTGCTCCTAAACCCATCTAAACCCAAGATATCCAAGGACAAAGATTTTTCTTGGTGAGGCTCTGTCACGTTTCATGATGCCATGTCGAAAGCCAATGCACCAGCTGTGTGTTTGGCCCTGTGTGAAACTTCTTGAAACGGGCCCGAAAAGTGGCCCGTGGCCAGCCGTGGCCCGCAGCCAGGTGCTGAATGGGGTACCTTGACCCCGATGCCGCCGACGATGAAGAGACGGGTGTCATTACGGAGCGATGCAAAACGGAGCGCTCCGAGCGATCGGAACGGAGCGATCCGAAGGAACCAGTGATGCAGTCCTGGCTCCGTGGCTTTACCATCGTCCTTTTTAACTTCACCACCAGCATCATGTTGGTGAATTCAGTCAAGTGCCTATACGATGCTGCGCGTAAGAGAGACTTTATTGTTTTCATTTCGTGAAATGTTACTTCTGTTATACTGGTTGACGATGGTTGACGCATGTCCGCATGTCGCATCCAAATACAAGGATTGGTGTGGCTTCAAATTCCCTCTCTTCATTGCTGGTACACACATGGTCTTCTCTTGGGTCGCCACAGCAATGAGTTTACATCTGGGCAGTGCCTCCAACTTTATGCCGATGGCAGAAAGGATGGAGAAGGTCTTGCCATTCACATTGTTCCACGCCGCGTCCCTGGCATGCGCCAATTTTGCCCTGACCTATATGTACCCATCATATCATGTGCTTTGGCAAAGACCAAGCTTGGAGTGCCACATGTTCAACATGTTAAACGGGTACATGCTGCAAATAACCAGGGTAAGGATGCCATGAACAAAGTAATATCGTGAAACAGTTGTGATGAAAGAGTATGAAAAATCATGATACACATTGCTACATGTTGAATCACTATGATACATAATTATTTAGCTGTGTAATTCTATCGACTGACCTATACCGTATTCACATTTATTCACACGCTTCAAGCGTTCATGTAGAAGTACAGTTATGGATACATATATATATATATATAATATATATAGAGAGAGATGGATAGACACTGATATTACATCTTTGCTACATGTGTATAGATCTGCGTTTACTACATACAGTTTCACCACAAACATGACCACCTTAAGCAATTTAGCTGTTCAACACGAGTGTTTTCCATGCTGGTCGGAACGCTACTGAGTGGAAGGCGGGGAACAAACAAACCTGGACCATGCGACCATGCACGTTTGTACATTCCTTAATATTATCATATGTATTTGAAAATATTCGCGCCTTAAACTGATTTTTTCTCTTGTCCTCCACCTGATGTCATTCTCTTCCTGTTCTACATGCCCGCATCGGTGCACGTCATCAGGAAATGATTCAATGCTTGACACCTCTGTTTACGTTGATCACCAGCATGATTTTGGATGGAAGACGCTACAACAGCTGGGCATACTGGGCCATGATTCCAGTCTGTGGTGGGGGAGCTATTTGTTCCTTCAATGAAGTGAACTTCTCGGTCGTTGGTTGCACTCTGTCTATCTCTGCAGTGGTCTTCCGGTCATTGAAAACCATCTTGCAAGGCACGGTGACGAAGCGGCGTTCTGCAGAAATCATTGTTTCTTGAAAGGGGATGCAGGATTAGAATGGATTAATTGATGAAAATTAAGATGGTATATGTAAATAAGTAGCTAGTCCGTATGAAAAGACTACTGAGAGGTTTGGGGAACTCGGGTAAACAGCGGTGTGGAAAATCAAAGTATGTTAAAAAATGTTGAAGCACGGTGACTATTCATCGATGCCTCCCTCAAGGGCGGCTGCTTTGTGATCAAAACGTCGATTCCATCACGCTGTGCTACTACATGGCTCCTTTTAATCTGACGATCTTGGCTACAGCCTCTGCTCTCACCGAAGGCACCAGGCCTTTTCGCACACTCTTCAAAGCAGAAAGCAGTTTTGCAGAGCAATTCTACCTGTGGATATGGCTGCTGGTCTCGGGTTTTCTGGCCTGCAGCTTCAATATTCTCAGCTATATGACCATCAAACACCTTTCCCCAGTGGGCACCAATGTGATCGCCAACGCCAAGACACCCGCCATCATTTTGATGTCGACCTTGTTTTTCGGGAACCCAGTGAGGCGCCTCCAATGGCTGGGTTTGCTGGTGACCTTCTTTGGCATCCTTCTGCATTCCCGAAAAGGCCGTCTCTTGGAGGTGGACAAATAGGGTGACAAAAACCTGGAAGAAAACAGCCAAAACGAAAAAAAAAAAAAAAGCTGATTGAAATCTTGGAATTTTCTGTGAAACTGTGAAACTGTGAAACTGACATTGGTGATGCCTTGAAAAGTTTAAGATGATCTTCAGGTTCAATCCGTGTTTTGAATAATGGTGTAGTCATTCTCAAGATTTGATGTTCTAAAGAAAAAAACCATGTCCCTATCAGATGGTATTCCATTGATTTCGATCTATGTGCATAATATGTATATGTGATGAGTCAACGAGTCAGTGACCGACAATTGATGGGTTGTTTTGTTCCACCTGGGTCAAAAATTGTCTCCACACCACAGGTGAAGAAAATCGCCGACCAACACTGAGTGCTGAAAAAAGAAGCCGCCGCTTCTCGCGACTGCTCGGGTCATTCCTTTGCTGAAGCCTGCGGCTATTATCCAAACATTGGAGGTGTCTGAAAATGATGGAAATACTTATAATTATGTAGTTATGTGGTTCACCTCCAATGTTTGGCAATAATCTATGCTAATTTCAATCCATTGGGAATGATCCAGTGATAGGTATCTTGTCAGGCGAGCCCATTCGGAGTTGAATGTGTTTTCCCCGATACTGGACGAGTTTTCCCAGGATGAAGATAGGGTTCCAGTTGATGTTCCTATTAAGGTTCCATATCATTATCCATTACGTTAATTTACATTGTGTCTATAGTATCCACTACCATAAATTAATCAGTCTACAGATGATACACAAGGACGAGGATTTCTGGCCTCACGATGGAGTTTCTTCCTATACCCATTTTGCTGTCATGATTTGACAGCCATGTGCAACATCTATGGCTGCCAATTTTGATGCATTTTCTTGTTCAAATCTGCTTGGGTAATCAGAAAGCTACGTTGAGGCAGCGTTGCCAAAGCATGGCAAAAGGTGGACAATACTTTGACGATCTTTGAAGCAAGATCGCTATGATAACTGGCTCGTCAAAACTCCCCCGCGTTTCCAGCATGTTCCCATGTCACCTTACCCGATCGATATACCCTCTGGTAATAGCTATGCAAAATTGTCATGTTCAATAGGTAAATCATCTAAAAGTTTATAGAAGGAAGTTTAGAAGTCAAACTTCCGACAATATGGACAGATGAAAAGCAGAGATGGGAAGAGTCAGAGAAGAGAAGAGAAGAAGAAAGAAGATCAAAAAGAGAAAGAGTGAGAAGAAAAGAAGATCCAGGTGCGCAAAAAGGTAGGAAAGTCGCGAAACACTGTGTCTTTCCAATGATTTGTGGCTCCGGAGGATCGAAAAGTAGGCCTGCTAAAGCGGCGGGTGCGGCGCCATGTGGTCAGATGAGAGATGAAAAGTTGCACCCCGTTGTGGCGCGAAGCACATTTCCAAGTCAAAACGTGCAAAACACCTCAGCTCCCGAGCACTTTTAGAAGTTGAGATGTCGAAGAAGTGCACGCCGTTGTGGCGCGAAGCACATTTGGAAGTCAAAATGTTAAAGACACTAGGGGTTCGGACCACTTTTGGCAGTTGAGATGTCGAAAAAGTGCACGCCGTTGTGGCGCGAAGCACATTTGGAAGTCAAAATGTTAAAAACACTAGGGGTTCGGACCACTTTTGGAGGTTCAGATCTCGAAAAAGTGCACGCTGTTGTGGCGCGAAGCAAATTTCGAAGTCAAAATGCACAAAACACCTCATGTGCGGACCACTTTTGGAAGTTGAGATGTCGAAAAAGTGTATGCCTTTGTGGCGCGAAGCACATTTCCAAGTCAAAAGTGCAAAAAACTGAGGGGCACGGAACACTTTTGGGCGTTCAGATCCCGTTTCGCGTGGCAGGCGCAAGGGATTGGGCACCTTGTCAAAAGTGAGCAAAACGTGAGGGTTTTGTAGCAGTTTCAAAAAACGATGGCAGGCGTGGGACATACGC